CTTCAGTATAGCTACACTGATATACATTAGCTAAAGATCTGGTCCTATATTTTTCCACCATCCATAGCCAGTTTGGTCAAGGACTGATGTGAGACTTATCTGCTTCTCTGTTTTTAAAAAGGAAAACCAGGGGAAATTGGGGAGTTATAGTTCTTGCCTTTGAAAATGTTAATAACGGGGTAGACAACATCAACAGAGGAAATAAAATGACTTCTCCCTGTTGAGGTAGACAAGTCTCCTTCCCTCATCTCATTAAAAATGAAGAGCACTCTTGTTTTTAAGCAGGGTAAATTAGTAATTAAGTGCTATAATCAACTTGTGTAAACAGTATGGAATGAGAGAAGCAAATTAATCATTTTGTTGGCTTGCTTTTACCTTATTAATGCACCTTTTACTAAGGGGCTTTCTGCAGTGTCAGGATATTTTTTATTCCCAAATCTTTTAATCAAAGCAATTTTGATAGGGGAAAAGAAGGTTTAGATGGCTATTCTGAGGCAACAAGATGTTCAGGAGGAAATGGTTTGGGGTGGTCTGATCTTGTGGCTTTGGTCTTCAACAATGCCAAAGGATTTCGGATAAATTCACATGCTTGAAGTTTGAGTCCACAGTTTACTGCAGATCATGTGGTCTGGTTCCTGGAAAAGGCAGGTGATTACTTCTGATTTATATTATATAAGTACATTTGGTTTTTGAGAGACATGCCTCTCCACAGGGAGAAGTCATCCATTTATCCACAGGAAGACATGGTGTAAGAAGAGTTAGTTCAAGTTTCAGTTACACAAATGTATCCTTCGCTGGGAGCACCATGTTAGAGTAGAAGATAGCTGAGTCTTCATAGCCATTCAGTTCTTAACCTCTCTGCTTTGACTGGCAACAAATAGGTTATATAAAGTCATGGATGAGGCCTCTTGCACCCACTTGGTACCTCACAAGATTTTGAGTCAAATATTAGAATTATATATAATTAACTTGGCGCACATTAAATAGATTAAACACTGGCTCCCAACTAGGTCTCAAAAATAACTGTAAATGGGGAATTTGTCATTGAGGTGTGTGTTTCCAATGGTGTCCTATAGGAATTAGGAAATGTTAGAAAGCGTGTAATTGAATAGTTGTGTAACTACGTCAAATTTTAGTGGTTACATGATTATTCGATAGTCCCTGGAGGCGGGGCCAGCAGCCAGTGTGCTCCCGGCCTCTCTCCCAGGGAGTCCATTGCCATGCCATGCTGCTGCCTCTTTGTCCAGGGCAGCAGTGTGGGGGGGCAGGCAGGAGCTGGTCCGCGAGGGGAGCCAGTTTTAAAAAAAGCTCCCCGCACAGACCAGCTCTCTCCTGCTGACTGTCTGTGCCAGGCCAGACTGGCAGGGGACAGAGGCTGCTCCATAGGATCCCAGAGTAGCTTTTGTCTGTGCGGCGTTCAGACCCCCCTTGGGCAGGGGATGCTGCGAGCCCAGACCCACCACGGATAGAGGCTGCTTTACAGCAGTCTCTCCAGAACCGTCCCCCACTGCTGCTTCTGATAGATGCAGCAGCACAGGGGCAGGCAGGCAGGCAGCACTGGCTCCTGCCTGCCTTCTCCCTCCCGCTGCCTCTGTAGGAGGCAGCAAGGGGTAGTAGGCCGGTCTATGGAATCGGCACACGCGGGGAGCTAGCTTAAAAGCTGGCTCCCTGTGCATATCGGCTCTAGCCTGCTCTCCTCACCCTCCATGGTGCTGCCAAGGGAGATTGGGAGGAGAAGCAGGGGAGAACTGGCTGCCCAGGAGAGGGTTGGGGGAAGTGGGGCTGGACAGAGGCGCAGCGGGGGGAGCAAGGGGGGGGGGAATGAATCGGCCTGCAGGGAGCAGGACTGACCCGGCCATATGTAGATCTTGGGGCGCTGCCCCTCTTCCCCCTCCCCCCGCAAAGCATGAGTTAGTCCGCACGCGCGCGCGCGCACACACACACACACACACACACACACACACACACACACCCCCTCGAGTAGTTGCGAACTGCCTGTCTGGTAGACACGCTCATGCAGCCTGAGCACATTTACCAGCCAGGCAGTTTGAAACTACAAACTGATACATCTAGTAATAATACAACTTACCTAATGAGAAAATACCAGACATGTTATATGTCTGGTATTTTCTCAGTTTGTTTTTTATGTGTTTATATTTTTGGGCTGCAAAAAAACAGTACTGAAAAAAAAAGGATTCCAACTAAAGTAAAAAGTTTGGGAAACCCTGGTCTAACCAGCTTTCTATCTGTCTTACAGTCTATTTATCCAATCCATATTCCTTAACCTTCTGGCAAAAATATTGGGGTGACCATATCAAAAGCTTTTCTAAAGTTGGCACTGGGGGTTTTGGGAGGACCAGAAACAACTTATTTGAATATTCATCATTTGATTAATGAATATGCAAATATGCAAATGAACGTTACAGGTCCTCCAAAAGTTCGTGAATGGATTTACTGGTCCCCATGGCAAACAGTTTGGGAACCCCTGATGTAGATCATTTGGTAAATTCAGTGTTCGCAAACCATATGCATTTTAATAGGCTAATTGTCAATGTCTGCTTCTAGGAACAAAGAATGAAGGCCACACTTATTGACTGGGGGACTCTATCTTAGGAAGCAGTGACTCTGGAAAAGATTTGAAAGTCACGGTGGATAATCAGATGGATATAAGCTCCCAATGTGAAAGAGCTAATGCCATCCTGGGATGTATAAACAGGGGAGTGTCGAGTAGCAGTGAAGAGGTCATTTTACCTCTCTATTTGGATTCTGGAATGCTATGTCCAGTTCTGGCACCCACAGTCCAAGAAGGATGTTGACAAATGTGAAAGAGTTATGAAAAGAGCCAGAGAATGATTAAAGGCTTAGAAATCATGCCTCATAATAATAGACTCAAGGAGCTCAATCTGTTTAGCTTAATAAAGAGACAGTGACGGGGTGACTTGATTACAGCCTGTAAGTATCTACACAGGGAACAAATATTTAATAATGGGCTCTTTAGTCTTGCAGACAAATATATAACACAAGCCAGTGGTTGCAAGTTGAAGTTAAACAAATTTAGACAAAGTAAAGTATACTTTTTAAATAGTGTGTTGAGTTACCAGTAATTAATGACCATTAAATTAACTTGTTTAAAATGGCAGTAAGTCTGTGGAAGTGTTATTTTTTGTTTTAAGCGACACAAATATTTACATGTTCTAAAGATAGTTTTTAAATCAAAGATGGGATGTTTTTCTAGGAATTATTTTGGGGGCGTTTATGGCCAGTGTTACACAAGAAGTTTGATTAGATTATCACAGTGGTCTCTTTTGACCTCAGAGTCTGTGAATAAAGTATCAGCCTCTTTCCCAGAGGCTGATAAGGTATCACATGGTAATGGTAGTCACTTTTAGCCAGGACCAGATCCAAAGCATTGAGTTAGTGGTGAAAGGGTTTGTATGCTGTTACCAGTTTCTTAGTCTCCCTTTCTGAAATGAAAATGAATCTCTTCCTATGAGAAAATCTTCAGTGCATAAAGAAGTTGGCTTTAATACGAGTTCTTGGCATGTGTGAAACCACTAAAAGACCAGCAATAGCTTCAGCCTTTGTACATTCAAAATTGCTTTAGAGAAATAGAGATGAGAGAGAAAAATGAAGGGACAAAGATTTGGTGGCCTCTGTCCATTTCCTTATGGACCAGTGGTGTTCACATTACAGAAAAATGCCATTTTGTTTGGCATATCTTAACACCCTTCTCAGAACTGTCAGCAAAGAGTACGAGGACTGAATGGAAACCCAGCTACTCTCTCACCCCTAACGATAATTGCTGGGTAAGACTGAGACACACAGGTTGGGGGAGTTTACTGTACCACTTAATAAAGGGCTGAGGTTCCAGTCATTGAATTCACTTGTTTAAAATGGCAATAGGTCTGTGGAAGCAGTATCTTTTTATTTTAGGTGCCAAGAATATTTACCTAAGGTTGAATCTCATCACCTGGCAGTAGTTCAATTTAAGGAAAACCCCACCACCAAACAACTGGGATGTGGCAGTCAACAATAGCTGTGATGTTTTCATTAAAGCCTTAAGATCAGTAGCCTCCTATGCTATTAATGTTTACTGATATGTGATGCCGGTTGACATCTGTTGCCCTGCTTGCTTGACAAGAGCTTGCTTTGCTTACTCTAACATTTTCACATTGCTGTGCTGCTGAAATTCACCGATACAAAAATCCCCACAGAGTCCCCTCAATCATTGTATGAAAAGCAGAGCGTTCATTGTTTGCTAGGCTTGGCAGCAGCATCTGGCCCACATATCTTCACGTTAGAGCTGAGTGCTGAGGAAAAAAACTATCTAAGAACCCCACCACTGTTAAATATTTTAAGTCAAATGCCATCTCATGTTATATGCTGCCCTCTGTTTGATGTATTATCAGCTCAATACATGCTGTACAGCAGTGTTTCACTCGTTGTCACGTTAGATGATTTGTCGTCATTCCATATCACTAGAAATTATTACAGGTAAAAACTTGTTTTGGAGAATGTGAGAGTTTGTTGCTGTGGATTATATAACAAAGTGACAGCTAATCCTGGGCTTCGGTACAGGGCTAGATTTGCAACTAGTGTAAACCACCAAAATTCCACTGATTTAATTGAAGCGACACCAGTTTACATCAGTGTCCTGATCTAGCCAAAGATTTAACCATGTGCTTAACTTTAAGGGTGTATCTAAACAACAGGGGGGTTTTTTTGGAGAAAAGTAGTCTTTTTTTCAAAAAAAATTTACCTGTGTCTAGACTACCGCCGCATTCTTTCGAAATTAAATCGAAAGAATGTGGCAGTTTTTTCGATGGTGGTAAACCTAGTTTTACAAGGAAGAACACATTTTTCAACAGAGATCTGTCAAAAAAAGGTGTGTGGGGATGCGGGGAGCCAGTTTTTTCAGGGGGGGAAAAAAAGGCCTCCAGGAAAAGCGTTGGTGGACAGTCCATCTGCATGCCTTGCACCTCTATTGTTCTTGTCTGCAGCCATGTTTTAAAGGGACAGGCACCCTGCCAGTCGTTTGTGACAGGAAGTCAGCCAGAGCACACGACTCTTCCTGTCCCACAGGATCCCAGCCCTGTCACAGGGAGGCACTTACAGGGAGACTTCTGAGGACCCACTCAGGGGCTCCAAACGCCGGGCACCGGCATGGTCAGGGCCAGAAATCAAGAGTCTTCTGGAGCTGTGGTCTGAGAAGGAATCCTTGCAAGCCCTCCACTCATGCCGCAGAAATGTGGAAATTTATGGCCGCATGACCCAGGCACTGGCCTGGAGAAGGCACCACCCCCGCACCCAGGACAAAGTGTGGGCTAAAGTTAAAGAATTGCACCAGGAGTATGCAAAGGCCCGAGATGAGAGCTCCCACTCTGGGGCAGCCCCACACTACTGTCCATGCTATGTGGAGCTGGCACACATTCTCGGCAGTAGGGAAGCCCAGACTCCACTGCGTCTCGTGCAGTCTGGGTTATCAGACCCTGTCATGGAGGAACCAGAGTGGGAGCATGAGCAGTCCAGGGAATCTGGAGAGCAAGACCTGGTGCTGGAGGAGGAGGAGGAGGAGGAGGAGAACACTGTGACCCTCACCCTGGAGCCGGTCACCCAGACCCCAGAGGCCTCCCAGGTGTCTTAGGACAACAGGGAAGAACCAGCAGGTGAGTGCTGTGAGGTTGTGCCACACACAGGGTGGGGGAGATGGGTGCACAGTGGCTGATGCAGAAGGGAAGCGTGTAATGTTCAGCCTGAACATCATGAAGCTGGCCGTGCATGTGCAAACACGTGCAGCGGTAGCGTCTGACACGTGGGTGTGCGCCACATGGTGCCAGGAGCCATTTCCAGAACACACACGGGTGGGTTGGCAATCTCTGAGTCCCCTGTCTGAAGGTGAGTCCCTTACAGCGAGGGCATGCCCTCATGAACAGCAGTTGCATGCATGATTGATTGTCTCTTCCTCTTTTCCTCCACAGACAGACCACCCGTGCAAGAGGGCCGCAGCAACCCAGGCCTACCTCCATCCCAGGTACATGGGAGCCGCAGGCACTGGCGTGTCTATACTGACATTTTGAAGCAGCATGTGGCGGTCCTGCAGGATCTCAACAAGACCCTGAAAGAGAGGACGGAGGGAGAGGCTCTTTGGCACTACCGCCTGCTGGAAGAGCACGTCCAGCAGCGCACTACCATTTGTGCCATGATACGGGAGGTCTGTGGCATGCCTGCTCCCATCCCTGGTACCGCTCCTCCGGTACGCCATGACCCTGCCCCACCAAACCTCCCTTCCCCACCACCCCCTTCCCGCTTTGCACCTTCCTTGCCCTTTCCTGATAGTCCCCCCTTTTCATCTCCCCCCAGAAGTGATTGTCTCTCTAGAGTGACTTACCTCCATCAAGATGGACCCGATAGTAGATCTGCCCACACCAAACTGGTGTCCCACCGAGCGGTAGCTGTTGTGGGTTGCGAGTTTTCACAGGGCAATAGCAACCCTCTTTTCCAGGGGGATGGCAGGCTGTGGGTGGGTATCATGTTGTTGGTGCGCAGGGGAGAGCCAGGCACACAGCTCCTGGAACGTAGCTTTCCACATCCGGAAGTTGCGGAGCCACTGCTGGTCATCCCACAGCTCCATAACGAGCCGGTCCCACCAGTCGTAACTGGTGTCAGGCCTGCAAAAATGCCTCTCCACGAAGAAGTTTGGAGGCAAGGGCATTGGTCCTGCATCCTGGGCAAAGCTTTCATATCTCTGGTCCCGGTCCAGATGGGGAAAGAGCATCATGACTGTGTCATGCAGATGCAGCAGACGCTGCAGCGTGATGGTGTGGGGCCCTTGCTCCAGTTCCATGGCCAAAAAAACAATGAAAAACAGGAAAACAAACCATAAAAAAGCTCCTGTGGTGTCCAAGAAAGCAGGGCAACCAGAGCAAGCACTGCAGCAGCTTTGCTGCCCCTCTAGGAGGTAGGCATGCCAGAAGCCGGAGCAGAGCAACGGCTGTCCAGGGGGATCCCTTTAAGCATATGTCTCTGCAAAGGGCATGCAGCAGCACCTGGAAGTAAATGCTGCTCCCATGCCCTACCAGAAACAGTTCAGGGTGCCTTTTTTCAAAAAAGCGGATCAATTTTTCGATCCACATAATGCTATCTAGATGCTGTTTTTCGAAAGAGGCTTTTTCAAAAGATACTTTCAGAAAAGCCTCTTTCGAAAAAGGCATGTAGTCTAGACATAGCCTCAGTGTACAAGACTCCCATTAAAGACAGTTGAACTTCCCACACATTAAATTAGTGCTTTGCTGAATCAAGACTCTGCAGAGGGTCTGGCCATTAATTCACTTGTAGATGGTATATCTTGAAGTGATAAGTATTACTACGGTTTCTGCTGTTGGCTCATATAATAATACCCAATAATACCCATATAATAATACCCATTCAACAAGCTGTGATGGGATATGTTGGAGAGCGGTTACAAAGGTATAATATTTTATTTTTTGTTGCTCTTCAGAAATTTAGCCCACCCTGTTTTAAAGGTCATTCAGCATAGGATTGGGATTCAAATTTATAATTTCTCTATAGCTATGTAATAGACAAAGAAAGCCAGATCCCCAGGTAATATAAATGCATGTAACTCCATTGACTCCCAGGAAGTCATGTTGATTTACAGTGGTTGGATGTCTGGTCTGGTCCAAAATGCTCACAAGTGGAGCCACAGACTTAGCAATACTTACTAATATGGCTATATTATTTTTTTTCAAAGTAAATGATTAATAAAATACCATACTCATAAAAAGAAATAATACGTTATGTTCTCTTTAGATGTCAATGAAAGGGTACGTGTTACTGTTTGTTGGGCAATCAGCTTGACTTACCTGTTTATTATCTGTCTGAGAGCAGCGATAAAGATTTTATTACGTATCACTTACATTTATGAGAGTGGATTGGAAAGACAATTAATTCCTTCAGGAACAATAAAATGATCCAAGAAACCCACTCTTTTATTCTGTTTTCATGAACAATATGTGGCCAGATAGAGAAGGATAGATCCTCACAGCTGGTTAAATCACTTGACTTCAATTGAGTTACAGGGCTGGCCTTACCATGAGGCAAACTGAGGTGGCCACCTCAGGTGCCAGACTGTGTATGTGGGGAGGGCGGCACCACTAGAGTGGAGACCTTTCAAACTTTTGGCCCAAGTGAGGGAGTATGGGAGCATCATTTGAGCTCCCCGCCTCAGGTGCCAAAATGTTGTGGGCCAGCCCTGTTGAGTTATGCTACTTTACATTCACTAAAGATTTGGTCCATAGCATTTTGAGAAGTTCAGTGTTGTCTTCATTGATCTAATCCAAAGATCATTGAGGGCGATGGAAGGATTCCTGATACTCTCAATGGCTCTTTGATGCTTCATAGATCCTCTCAGAAGCAGCATCCACTAAGCATGTAGCATCTCTGTTGTTAGTAGGTTTGATATCTATGTTTGTAATCCTGGTGATCTATAGTAAGAGACTCTGATTTTCCACCAATTAACTTTTAGTAATCTCTATCAGATGAGATTTTGGCATTGAATAGAATTTGCTGGATCAAAAGTGAGACTTCTATGACAGTACTACTGATGTAATCTGTCAGCAAGTCTGAGAGGCGGAAAGCAAGAGGAAATATATTGGTTAGAAGAACAAGTACAGTAGTACTCTTCTTTTTTTTCAAGTTACAGACTAACACTGAGCCTTTTAAACATGATTGGTTAAAAGAGCTTAATCTCTACTGCTGAGTCTTTTCATAGCAAACCATGGGTATGATTGCCCATTGGAGTTCAGTTGGGACACCCATAACCAATTGGTAATAATTAAGGATGTTAAATTTTGATTAGCTAATCAAATAGTTGATGGGATTGCCATCAACTATTCAATTAGTCAATAAGAACTTCAGCATTCCGCCTATGAAATGTACAAGAGATTCAGTGCGGGCTCTTGTGCATTTCAACACAGCATGGAGCTTGGGGCCAGCGGGCAGTCCCACTGATCTCTGGCCCCATGCAGGTGCTTCTGCTTTGAAATGCACAAAAGTCCCAGCAGGGGGCACTTGTACATTTCAAAGCAGAAGTGCTACGTGGAGTCCGGGGTCAGCGGGAGGACTCAGTCCCGCAGTGGCCCTAGGCTCCTCACAGCGCTTCCGCTTTGAAATGAAAAAGAGCCCCCGCTGAGGACTCTTGAACATTTCAAAGCTGGTACCCTCACGCAGCCCAGAGTCAGCAGCCAGCAGGGAGTCCCCCCGCTGATCCCAGGCTCCACGTGGGCGTTTCTGCTTTGAAATGTACAAGAGCCCCCGCTTTTAATCTGGCTCCCTCCAGCATCCCCTCTTCCCTCTCCCTCTGCTCCCCCTTTTCCCCGCTGCGTCTTTGTGATAGAGGCAGCAAGGGAGGGAAGCGACTAGTCAACTAGTGCGTTGACTAGTCGCTTACATCCCTCGTAATAATATGTATACATGAGAAAAAAGATATGAAACAACATGCAAAGTAACAGTATGTTAATAAAGCAGGACTTGGTACCACTGTGTAGTGCCTTGTTGGTCATTCTCATTCTGTAACCATGGTGTTTTTAAATAGACAGTTTAAATCAGTTGTGAAAATCCCATTTTGGAATAAATCAATTTTTGTAAGCAGATTAAGATTCAGTATCATCTTTTACAATAAATTGTGCAATAATAGGGCTACCTTATGCTTATTATAACCCAGGGCACTGTTTTCTCTTCATAGATTTGTAAGGAAACTGTAAATGTGCCTTTGGGACTTCTTAAAATGTATAGCCATCAAGATCCCTCCTATTTTGGGACCTGGTTATACCCATAGATACACAAGCACAACTTGCACGTAAGTCATTTGGTCCTTGGGACCATTCTTTGTGG